CATTGGTGTAGTACTATTAAGTCGCTCTTACTTTGTTTTTTAACTTGTTTCATGTCACTGACAGTGTGTTGTAAACCTCGTTTTTGATTGTTCTTCATAAATAAAAATCTAGGGGTGTTAGATCGGGTGACCAAAAATAAAAAGCTTATAAACTTTTTTGCTTCTTGTACAATTCTGCATGGTTAATTATTAAACTAGGAAAAACAGGCAGGAGGTAACGTAGTAATGTATTAATTTCCTAAGAATTTATTTGGGAATCAGACTGATTCATGACAACAACCGATCACTGTTTTTCCTAAACCACCTTAGTTTTCTGTTAAAGCTGCCGATGCCAACTACGGCTGGTTTATCCTTTTATGGCAGGTATAAGGTACTTAATTAATGTGGATTTTTTTTAAATACTTTTGACTGTGTGAATAAAATGGTGGGTAAAAAATACTCTTTTTAGCTGTATCTGCGATTCACTCTCGATACATTTGAAAAAATTGAATTACGACCATAAGTACAATCAAACAAAAGACAATCAAAACTATTTTTCTGTGACTGCTTAGTCCAAAATTTACCATTTTATCATATTCATGGCTCACTGGATTGAAAATTAAAAATTACAAATAATTTTAAGTTAGATGTCAAATGCAGCGTCATTGTACTCGGAATGTCATTTTCTATTCAAATAAGCAAAAATATACTGTGTGTCTCATTTGCACTAACTTAACTAAGTTAAAGTCATTTCCAGTTAAACCGAAAGTGAAAGTAAACTACCTAATATGTCACACAGTGCATATTTATGTGATATATCTACATACTTAATTTTATTTTTGTATCTTAAAGGATAAATAAGTTATAGGGGTGAGCCACTTGCTAGGGACACCCGATATACCTGCACCTGTTCCCTGCACAACTTTTGACACGTCAGTGTACCAGATAATTTCTCCATGCATTTTGTGCCATTGGTGTTTTGTACGATCTCCTTCTTTGGTCTCGAGGTTCTTTCTGAAGGTAAGAGGTCCAGCATGATTCCAAGTTCTGCAGTTGGAGCGCTCTTCCTTGCACCTCTTATCGTCAGACAACAAAGTCTTTGTACCTTGCTTAATTCTACAATGACAGTGCGTTGCTTCATCTTTGGCCACCGTGATGAATTGGTTATCCTGGGTATTAATTCCATTATGTGCATCATGGAATTGCTCAATGCCTATGTTTTGCCATGAAAGCGTCTGTCCAACATTCCGATCTCCTTTTAATGCATTTGATCTGCGGGTTTCAGTTCAGTTGGGAGTCTGGTATTACCCCCAGATACTTGACTTCCCCCCACAGTTGCATCCGTTCTCCCAGAAGGCATAGAGGTGCTAGCCTTCTAATTTCTTCCGTCAGGTGAAGACATTGATGAATGTCTTAGAGGGACTTACGTTTAAATCCTCATTTGACGTTCATGTTGTAACCACATTCAGAGCCCTTCGCATTTTGTATCTGACTGTGGTGTTGAATTTACCTTGCGATAGTATAACGAGGTCAACCGCATATCCTAGCGTTTTGTGCCCGTATTGATCTAGTACGGAGTCAACGTACTTGATGCGTATTACCTGATCACTATGTTAGCTAATGAGAAAGCCCAATTATCAACGACTGCATATCCACTGATTCCACTCTTCCCTCAGCATTGTGGAGAAAATGCTGAAAATATTCTCGAGCTTTGAAAGAAGAGGGTTGTTAGTAGAGGAAGTCTCTCATAGCATAGCAGTGAACACCTTTCAAGTTGAAAGCCGTCCGTCGTACAAACAAAACATCCGTGCATAAAACGCGCTCATTTTCGGATGCGCATTCACGCGAGCCGCTAGCTGCGATTTCACCCTTAATTACGAGCGTGCATGGGCATCGCCAGTGGGTTTTTTAACGGCAGAGGGAGAGAGATTTTCAAATACATAGTATATTACAATACAAAGGAGAGCATATTATCCATAAAAACAAGAACTCAAATATTTGAGTAGGATGATTTGAGGCGATTCTCTTGCGGAGTTGTTGCTTTCGCACGCATCCTTGCATTTCCAGATGCACAAAATGGCAATAAATAGGTGACAAGATAAATAGAAAAACCTCAGATTCCAAAAATTATTTTTATTTTTGCTTAATACGCCACTGGGCTAGAAACTATTCTAATCAATGAAAAATTCGAAAATTAGATATTGAGTTTTTTCTAAATGTACATGTACATCGTTGGTCCGTCTATAACTTGAGAAGTACCACTCGGATTTTGATGAAATTCCAACAAGAGCTTTGTAGTTTTTCAAAATTGGTCCAGTGGAGACGGAAAAACCAAAAACGAAAAGAATAACAATCTCTCAATCTTCGTTTTTTAACGTTTGAGGGGGTTCTGACCATTCCCAGAAAATTTTTTGATGCGGTTGTAGTTCGTTGGCTGGGTGTTGTAGGGGGTGGGGTATATAAACATTTTTTTACCTGAATATATTTATCCGCTAGATCGATACTTTAATACTGTGTACATAACAGTCATATCTTATACATCGTAGACTTCTCCCTAAAATTTACCTTTAAATTATAGAGAAACGTTCACACTGGGCGCTGCCCCGGTTATGTTGAAAGGGGAAACGTTATTAGAGCCGCTTTCCAGTGCCTCATTTGTGTTACTGGGAGTAACTCGGAGCTACCCACCACCTGTCAATACTGTTCTAGTGCTCTAGAGTCTAGAGTGTCATGCACCTGTGCTACTAATTTTTGAAATCCCCAGCCCCTCATTCATTTTTGACTGACCTAGTCCTAAGTTAATCCTTTATGAACTAATGACGACGTTACGTAGGACGTGCAGAGCCTATTTGAATAAGAAAATATAACGTATATTGCGCATCAGGATCCTTTTCTCATCTATAGGATGGCATAACTTCGCATAGATAAACAGAATTTTCAATTCCAAATTTAAGGATATATGATTATTTTAAAAGACTATATTTTTATGAACGTGGGCCTTTAATCACAAATCATCAAACAAAATGGCAATAGTAGTACAAGTGCAGTCGCTGAAGCCGTAATAAAATTTAAGCATCATGAAGACATAAATCGCAAGCCCTGTCTACCTCGAAAGTTGCGGCTTGCTTAGCGACAGGCAGTATGATTTCCGGCACCAGCCATCCACAAGGGACCTCCTAGCTTACGTCACGCAATTGTAGAGTAAACTGATTCATTCTTATGGTGAGGCTCATGTCATTGCTCTTGATATCACGAAAACGTTCCATCAGCTCTGGCACGCTGCTCTCTTATGTAAACTTCCATCCGATGACCACCCAGAGAAGCTTTGCAGATGAGTGGCTAACTTTCTCTCTGGCCGCAAGATATCTGTCATAATTGACGGGTTCTCCTCTTCATCCCACAACGTCAACACGGGTGATCCCAAATATGTACCTACCTCTTACGTATCAACGACCTCTTTTCCTGTACGACTAATCGAATCCACAGCTTTGCTGATGACATGTTTGCTCGTACAGTGGTCGATGACTTGTCTGGAATCTGGCCGTGTGAATTCCGTCTATTTAGCGTAGCAGCATGAACAGAATTTGTGTGACTGGATCTTGGAGACGATCACTGATAGGTTGGTGACAGCTGTACTATTAGCACTAAAAGCACTTTACATGCAGGAATTCAGACCGAAAAGCCGATCTCTGCCGGTGAGCTGGAAGAAAGAAAACTAGCAGCGACTCCCTCTCTGACGAGAGATCACTGCTTGGGGTCGCAACAAGCTTGTACAGTTTAATGCTTCAAAAACACAGTACTGTACCTTGACGACCAAAAAGCATCCTAGCGCTCATCCGGTTTCGATGGTATCACGTGCCAAAATCACGTAACCATTTTTTACTATTTTGATCACTTATCAGTAATTTGAATTTCTCTTTATTGATTATAGAGTACCGATTCCTAGGCCAAACCCTTTTCAATGATTTTCTTTTGGAAAATTTCATATCTTATTGATTATATAATTTCACGCGTACTGTATCTTTCTTCTTCAGCGACTCAGTATTGTTTTGAAATGTTTTGGACACAAATGTTATAGTATTATTAACGACTATCTTAGAAATTTTGTTAATCCCTCGTAGACAAAGTTGGCAATCAGCGTGCCACCTTGTGATTTCTAGACGTACTAGCCGTATATGATACATATCAAGATACCTTCTGTTAAAACTTGATTTACTATCAAGATACCCTCCTTTAATTGCGTACAGACGCGTCCAGCGCCATTTTACTTCTGCTTTCCACTGTGCTTTTGGTTGTGTGTTGTTGTCTTTTCATTCATTTCCAGATTCTGGGATTTTGGACTCCTGAACATCAGTTTATGGAGTAGTATCATTTTGTTTTGTACCTTACGTTTAGTTGTGTTGGCTTGGGTACTACCCTTCCATTTTCTAATGGGATTTTAACCTTCAGCGGTGAGTTCTCTTTTGTATACCATCGGACCACGTCCATTAATGCATGTCCTGAAGAAGTTTGTTCAATATCTGCTTCCTTTATAGTGGAAAGGCATTGCGAAGAACCACCATCCACACTCAAGCTTTGTTTTGTATCTGCCGTGTAGCTATTTCGCAGCCGATTGTCTTGGAAGTCATCCTTTTTCTTTGATAAAAAAAACCCTGACGCGAACAGGTAGAACATGATTTTAATTGGGTATTTTATAGATATTGATATATTGATTGTTGCTGATTGTTCTTGATTTTGTTTGTCATTTTTCGTATTCAAATATAGGGCAGCACCTACATGTCACCGTCTTTTATATATATATATATATATAATAATCCATACACTGCCTGAACAGTGATCCAATTAACAGGCAGGGAAAAAACAAAAAATGATACAAAAACAAAACTCTACACAGTACATGATAAAAAAGCCATAAATATAAATTATCCAATTGTTAAAAAAGACCACTTGAGATTTTTTTAAGCTTTTGCTATTATTGCATTAATGTAATCAATAAAAGAAAGCTTTGGATCGAATAATACGCCCAAATCCTTGACGATATTAACACGACAAAGAACATTGCTACCGATTCCAAAATTAAAACATGTCGTTTCTACCCTGCGTGTAAACGTCATAATAGTACATTTATTGACATTCAAGAGCATGTTATTTACTTTACACCAGTGATCAATGGCACTCACATCAGCCTGTAACCTTAAAATGTCTTCTAAGCAACACACGCTATTAAAAATTTTGAGGTCATCGGCATATAGCAGGTACTCACAACGCAAGTATCATGTAACATCATTGAAAAAATTTAAAAACAATAGAGGACCCAGAACAGAAGCTTGGAGCACCCCTGATGTAGCTAAAACCGCACCAGGTCTTTTGAGCTTACTACATTATATTAATCATGATTTTGCATTTTGAGCTGCCGTAACTTATTTTAGAACAAGGGATAACTTTTTGAGGGTATGTCACTTTAGTAAATATTTATCTTTTTGCACTTGCTTTACTTTTCTTGTGAAAAAGAATGTACATGGATTTTTCTTTAAGTGTTGAGTATTTTAAATGTGTCTCAGACATAGAGTAGAGAGTAGATTTTTGAGTCTTTCTCTCTCTAGAGTTCTTTTTTATACCGTAAATTTGGGAAAACGAAGCAAGCAGCCCCTACCTTGTGACGTTCCCCACGTCACTGCTCACTATTGGCCACTGGTTTTTGACCTGAGCGTTTTTGAGCTGAAGACATCTCAGCTGTGCCTAGAGCTGTAACTGGAAGAAGACCATTACATAGATTTAGATTAGAAGTTTAGGTTTAGGCGTTAACATATTTGTGAAGCCTGTATTTGTAGAGCCTTCGTACGCGTACCATGTTAAACGTTTTGCAGGGTTAATTATCACGGTCTAATAATTTTATTGTTAGGTAGTTTTGAATAATATCCTTTCTTTTAAGTTGCACTCCAGTGGTGGAGCATATATGTTGCTTGTCTTGACAATATATTGTGATTTTCTTTGATATTATGTTTTATTTGGCTCTCTGTATACAATTAATTAGGTTTCATAATTACTGTTAGATTTTTTTCTTTGTGTGGTGGTCAGGCAAAACAAGTTCCGACTAACATCTCGGAGATTTGTGGCTTAATCCGTCTTGAGGCGCTCTTTAAAAATACTTACTTGGTCGTTTATCTCTGGAATTAACCCGAATTTAGAAACAGTTTCATTTTATTAGTTATAAAATGCGTAACTGTAGCTCATTAACCGTCCACATATTCCTTTCCGTTTCCAAGATCCCAATGGCAAGGATCGAATTTGAAACAACTGGAATAAAGGATCGTAAAAAGTGCTCCTTCTTATCCCTCTCAAACGATACCCTTAATTACGAGCGTGCCGTAGACGTCAGTACGAATGCTGGATGGATGAGTATGGTGTGGGGTCGGAGGCTGGAGGCCCGTCTAATTAATCCAAGTTACGTATGGTGCTGCTGGCAACTAAAATATAACCATCTACCATCTCTCCACGTTTTAATTGCTACCGACGGTTTTTGATGTTAGACTGTACGAAATACTATGGCAGAAGTAACAGCTTAATTTAAACATTCCAGTCCACATATCGCTACCTCAGAGGAAGACGATGTTAAGTCTAAATAAGAAGTTTTGATATAATCGTGCTTAAAATTATTCTCAATGTTGAGCCGTACTAGGTTATAATGTATGTCAAGTCCATAGCTCTGATAAGCTCAAGCATTGATATTGATCAGTGGGTTATACTGAATCTTACTGAGACATAAGTATATATGTGAAGTCCATAATGTGGTTTGGCAATCGCACTTAATAAAGTGTGGCTCGAAGATACTGTTTCAGTTATAACTAGACTATTGTACAAGCTAGTGAACGCGGCAAGTAACAAACAAAATCACAAATAATCAAATGGACTAAATATTTATAATGCCTCAGTAACAACGCAAGAAAAGGCAAGAGGTCAATTTCCTGCTTTGTGAACTTACCTTGTAAGATTATTTTGTCTTTCAGAACTCATTTATTGGAGACCAATCTCAAACAGATGGTCGTTAGATGCAGCTCAATAGGAAACGACCTTAAATTATTTAAGGTCGTTCGCCGATCCATAAGTAGAGGACTGAAGCCTTCCTTTCTGTCTGGATGTATTAATGTTGAACACTTTGTTGGTCTAAAGGTTTTAAGTGTGATGTTTGTTAGTCACAGTTGTATGTTTGTAGCATTTTTACGTTCGAATCGTTGCAATTGTTTACTAAGAATGTTTGTCCCATGTTCAGGGGAAGACACTGGTACACCTACCCACAATGCGATTTATATCCAGTTCAGTGAGATTTCGGTAATTTAGAATTGAAGAGAGAGAGTTCTGGAAGTGTACTTAAGCCGAGCTTCTCTGTATAATAAACGAAGACCGTGGTAAAAGGATGCTTCCAGGTTCCCGCGATATATCAATAATTATGTTTATTGGAACTCCTAACGGACCTGAGTGTACATTCAGGATCCACGTCTAAAAGTGCGTGTTATGTACTTACTATTATATCAGAAAGAAGTAGTAGACCTGGTCCCTCCTTTTCAAATTCGGTAATAAAAGTTGTATGTGTTACAAGAGAGATATTTTTGAAATTTTAGGTAATAAATACGACAGATAGCCTCATGCGCGCTTGTCGTTTTGAATGGCTGCACGTCCATTTTTGGGAACGCGAGTGTCTACCCCCGGTGGTCCTGGTCTATACTGGGTTTGTGTGGTGCCATCTTAAGATTCGGAATGGTGACTACGCGTAATCTCTGCACGTTACGGGACTTACAGGCTATTGGAGTAACGCATTGGAACGGTATCGAAATGTGATGATGAAAAGATAAAAAAAAATCACTGTCACCTAGAAGAGAGATAAATAAGACATATTGTCATTGTACTGAAGAAGCTCACCTTTGTAATTGAACCGTTAAAAAGTTTCACAGTAATGAATATTCTGTCAATATATGTTGTTTTATTAGCCAGACAAGCATGGGGGATTATCAGTATAGGTGTATTTGGTGATAGATGATTCATCTGTCTCCAAATGACTGGGTCTATCTATCTAAACACACCTTATTCAGCCCATCTTTTTTGTTTTATTTTGTTCGTACGTTTCTCTGTTACAGTTAACACCAACAAGTATACAGTAATGCTATTTGATCCAAAAGATCAACAAGGAATTGCTGCAACTAATTTAACAATCAGTGTAAATAATGCGGTATTAAATGTAGTAACTGAAGCTGAAAACCTTGACGTGATTTTTGGAAGCGACCTTCGATTTGAGAAACATGTAAACAACCTTGCTCAAAGAGCCGGCTACTCCCTGAAGTTATTAAATAATCAAGGAAAATGTTATGCGAATGTTTGGTTTGGCAGAATCCAAATTGTTCAGAGTTCATGCTTACGTTCTTTTCTACATGGAATTAAGAGAGTCTGTCACAAATTATATGATGTAGGGTGGCTAAACATGTACGACAGAAGCCATGCGGCTTGTTTATATTATCATAGATTAATAACTGCTAAACAACAATTGTGTCCTCCTGGGTTGCCCCACGAATTTTTTAAATGAGGTATCGTCTACCAAATTTATAGTGTGTACAATGGTTTCCTGAACGAATTAAAACATTAAAACGTTTAATATTGTAAAATTCAAGAGTCATGTTAAACGGACACTATTTACCAAACAGAGCTGATTATTCTATAGACAATTCAAGTTTAATATGTATTACTGTTTTCGTGCAGTGTATGGTATGTTATTATTATGGTAGTTACATTTGCATTATGCATTAGGTTGAATGTAATATGATTTAACAGGGTTAAGTGGAAAAACTGATGTGTGTCATACCAGTGGTGCTCATCTGAACTACGAAAAACTCTGTTTTTTGATATAAATGTGAGTTTATTTGTTTATGCTTGGCGAATAGATATGTTTATTACTATTATTGATATATCTCAAACTGCATGACGTTAGCTGACAAAATATAGATCATAGAACTTTTCACTCGCTGAGCCTTTTGCATAAAATTATTTTGCTAAAGTCACCTAGCTATTTATTTGTTAGGATTACATTTCGTACTGATGTACGTAATATAAACGTAAGATCAAGAGGTCTGCTAACTCCTCCTATATTCCGAACTGAACACTTCCGGCATGCTTCTAGTTTCAAAATATGCAAAATGTATAACGGTCTGCCGTAAAATTATAAAAAAAATAAATTTTCTAGGTTTAAATCTGAAGTCAGAATCATGTTGTTTGATCAGCAAAAATGATTTTTCCTCTACCCTGTTAAGGTTCTTAGTGGTATAGTGTTTTGTTTATATTTATCGGTTTAGTGGAAGAGGAGCTATCAAGCTGAACTTCGGCCATCAAAAAAAAATGCCATTGTCATTATTATTGTTATTATTATTATTGTTATTATTATTATTGTTATTATTATTATATTATTATTATTATTATTATTATTTTCATCAGACGTTTTGCACAAACTTTAGTCTGGTAAATATGATACATGAACGAGTTAAATCAAGTTCATAAATATAACTAATTCTATTATAAAAATTACAATGCTTGTGGCGCTGAGTATAACTGCTGTCTGTATTTGGGAATGTATCTGCGCATTCAGTACAAGTAGTTCTAGATAGTTTATAAATTACTGTGGTGTGATACCTGTCACTGATATGATCGTCGATATTATTTCCACCTTAGTTTGTTTCCATGGTCGTTGATTTATTGTGGAAGAGAAATATATGTTTCGCTCTTCTGATGATATTTTGTTTTTTTGTTATAATCGCTTGGTACTGCCACATCAATCAGGTATGTTACATGCTTTATTTTGTCGATTACAGTCATGTTAGGTCGATTAGCAACAATTGCCTTGTCTATGAGGATAGGATATTATTATTATCACCATTATTATTATTATTATTATTATTATTTTTATTTTTATTTTTATTATTATTATTGTTAGTAATTAAGCCATAATTTTAGAATACAATAACCAAATACAGAGCTTTTTGTTGCGTAGGCTGAAAATCTTAACCGCTGGAAGCCAACTTGGAAGGTCTCCCTTTGAATTGACTCGAGTTTTGTGTTGCGACCGCCATTTTTACCTTTATTTTTATTGTGTGTCTTGCTGCTGTTTATCTTGCAACTAAACTTGTTCATGTCTATTGTTAATAGCTAAAGAAGAGGGGAGCGCAATCTAGCAAAGCTGGTGAAGAGAACGAAATGGTCCCCGTCGTCAGCATTGCTAGAATCACTGTTAGAATCTTCGCTAGAATTGCCGCTGGAATCGTCTGTTATTAAACAGTAATATTGTCCATGCCATTGTTCTAAACTGCAATTTGTGAGAAACCGCTGGTTTTGTGCAAGTGACTATCAAGAGGCTTCAGAAGAGACCCGGGGCTCCTGCCGAAGTTCATCCACGTGAGGAACCAGGGAAAAGCATTTTCACTGCTCCGTGAATATCCTTTTTTCATCCACTTTAAAGGTCTTTATTTTGAAGGCATTGTCGCATCCGTCACACCTAGACGGCGATTTATCTCTCATGGAAATTGTACTGATTTGGTACCATCAAAAATGTGTGAAAAATGTATCTGAAAATCTGTAGACATCAAATAGGAAGATCGTATCGTCATTACAGGAGCTACTAGGTTAGTAATCAATGTCCAAAGAAATTATTAAACTCATGCTGTTGTCTGTCATAAGCTCATGACTGCATCGAATTTACTAAACTTAAGCACCCTGAAACTCAAAATATCAGGACCATAGCGCAATAGAGACCTTTAATCAGATTGGTATAGAGAACAACGAACCAGTTATGGCCATCGATTCCATTTAAACAAGTCCCAAGATAAAGCCCAGCCGTCAGTTTGGAATGACCAACCTATTCAAAAAATGGGTGGAGGGGAACCTTTTTTGAAAAGCACTGTACTCGTATGATTCTGCTATTCTCTAAAATTGCGGATTCATTGTAGCAGAGAAAAGGACAAGACAAAACAGAAAATAGGCTGAATGGAGTCAGTTTGGTCTATAACTTGTATCATGCTTTGTAGCAATCATCAGTGTCGTATCAGTCTAGCTCATTTGGAGATATATGACAGGAAGCAAACATACCATCGTGACTAGGCCTATGCCGTGTTCTTGATTGCTAAAAAGCAGTGAACAATGTTGCATACGGTTTGTTATATTCGCAGAGGCGGAAAGCAGACAGATCCTATTCAGCCGGTGTTCAAATTATACAAATCTTGCTCGTACCATGGTGAGTAATTATCACTCCCCTATGTGACAATGGGACGCTAATGTGGTACGAGTATCCTTGTTTGGGTTTATTCCATGTCGTTGAAAAATGCGGGAAAAATGTGGTTCCCTGATGCAGCACGTAGGGGACGGTAGTACTGAAACTAATCAAAGGTAACGTGATGTCTATGTTTTTCGCACAAAACTAAAGAATAGAGTCAAGTAGGTTGACTCTACACTTCCTACGCAACGCCGTCATGACTTCATAAAGGATTAAGTTCAACGCAATTTAAATCGTCTGAGAAAAGTCAATTACGAACATGTTCAACAGAGAAATATAATATATATATATATATATATATATATATATATATATATATATATATTTGTTATATATATATATATATAATATAATAAGTCAGTGGAACAGACCCATATAATTAGTCCATAGATATCCTTTCCCTGCCCTACCGGTAGTTACTGTCCATCTGGCAACGTTGTCCCTTTCCATATCTGCGCGGCATAGCTGCAGCGAGTGATCGTTCATTTTGTATCCGTGTTTTTTGTGCGGGATTATGGATATGTTAGTTAGCCGGACCGATTCGCCCGGCGTTGAGCTCAGTTAGCAGGAGTACGCGGACTGAAAATATTTCTGTGTCATTTCTTCTTGGTTCGTGTGCACTTTTGCTCACCAGTGTGGTTTCAAGACAAAGGTACAGGAAAATTTATGATGTGTGATATATGGATAATAGGTGTATGGAGTTACCGGGGTTGGGAGCGTATACATATACTAAGATCAAACATTTTTCATGTACCCTCCCCCACACCCTACAACCGCCAACCCTCGAACTTAAACCCCTACAAAAAATGTTTCTGAAAAGGATCATGACCCTCTGAAATGTCGAAAAACCAAGTTCTTGTTGTTTTCGGATTTTTTCTCGACCGCCACTGAACTGATTTTCAAAAACCACAAAGCTGTTTCGTCCTTGACATAGTAGCAACATTGCATGGAAATTTCATCAGAATCTGAGCGGTACTTCTCAATTTATAGACACATCAATGATTAGCAGACAGACAGACAGACCGACGGAAATCGGTGGCATGGTTTTCCGTGAAGTACATGTCATAACATTCAAAAAACACAGTCTGATCTTTCTAAAATTGTTCACGGTTACAATACTTCCAAGCCCAGTGGTGTAGGAAGTAAAATGTTATAATAAGTTAATGACAGTGTGTCAATTAAATCACTATTTTTACTGCACATAAGGTACGACAAAATGAAAAAGACGTTTTATGGCAGTACCCCCTATTTATAGAAAGTATTTTGTATGTAAATACCGCAAATGTACTGGAGAACAGCGCATTTTGTATTACGCTAATTTGTTAGTATTTTATTATTTATATGAAATTTTATTTTATATACTTTGACATGACAGTTGTGACTGACACATTATTACTATTAACTACATTATAGCATTCCCTCTTTAATTATTTTTTATTAAATAGCAATGACACTTTTCCATGAATGGTAAGTCAATCTCAACTCACTGGCTTGTTGTTGTGCTAGTTGTGCAGCCAGGTCTACGGCTGTGAGCTGCGGATGTGTGGTCCTGGACATGCACAGCGTGAACATGCTGGAGGTGCTGCTGGAGCAACGAGCACCTAGACCAACAACTGTGCCACGTGATGATGGTGTCGGTGCGAGGACTGCCGGCGATGCACTAACAACAACACAGAACACAATCGACGTCGCCGCTGCTGCCGGCGTTGACGCCGCGCCGCGACGCCGGTGGAACAGTGCGCGACGGCGCGTCGCACGTTGAGGCGGGCTGGTGGAGAAAGACGTCCTTTTTTGGGACCTAGATTGTCCGAGACCGCAAAGGGCAGACATTGCTTCATAATAATTCCTAACTGCTCCTAAACAGTGGGCCTGACGGAAGCTGTTAGGACTCAGAAAGGTCCCATTGCATGAAGGTTCTCTCACAAGGCCGTGGATTTCATGCCAGGTGAGGGTGAATTAGACCAACTACTGGTCCTTCTTGCTTCTCGAAAATTTTCGAACACTGCTTTCTGGAGAGGTTGGAAGTATACTTGGACAGAAAATGTATTCTTTTGCTCAATAAACTCAGCCAGACCGGAGAATCTGAATCAGCTTATAGCTGGTTAGAGTCGCTTCTGTAAGCTCGGAAGCAACAGGTATCCATGGCATAAAAGCAAAATAATACAATTGTGCAATTAAAATCCTCATCAACCACTGACAACGTGGGTGTGCCACAAGGATCCATTTTAGGACCAATTTTATTTAGCATCTATATCAATGATATAGGTTAATGTTTTGGTGAAGCAAAGTTCACTTTACTCGTATATGCAGATGACACGTATGTATTACTGTCTGACGTCTGTGATGTAAATGTTATATGTATATGTGGTAGTGTGTTGATTGTTTTATATGAGTAGTTCTCGAGGCACCACCTTATCTCAATTTGGATAAAACTTCAGCATTGAGGTTCCACAATGCTCAAAAAAAGCTCATCTCCTTAGATCTTTAAATTAAAGATACAAACCTACAATTAGATCGCCAAGTAAAGTTCTTAGGGGTTCACTTTGACAACCATCTTGGTCTTAGAATACTCTATGACTATGGTAGTTTCAAGTCTGAATTCATTTATCATAAAAAATTTGAGAACTACTTTAACTGAGCATCAACTAGTAACAATATATTATGCTCAAGTTGAGTCTAGATTGAGATACGGACTGTGACTCTGGGGCTGATCATCATCTGCTCAGTACGGATTTGTAAGTCAGAAAAAGGTTTTAATTACAAAACCTTTAGATGGCTAAAAAAGATATAACCACAGACTCAATAAATTAATAAATTGTCAATGTGAAAACAGTCAATGTATCATGTATTGATTATCAAGGAAAGAGAAAAGTACATCAATGACTTACCAAAAGGTTCCGGAGGTAGGTATACCTCAGGATCACACCTGACCTGCAATATGTACCGTTAGATTTTTGTAATAAGTGAATAGGGCCGCTTGGGGTGCAATTCGATGAAGGTTATCGGCACATGGTAAATGGAGACATCGTCCCTACGTCATGCTTTCGTCAGGGTTGAAGTTACCGTGAGGGGCAAGGTGGAGAAAATATATTATCCAATGTAAAATGTACGTAAAAAGGAAAAAGGGCTGAATTAAAATTCAATATGTCACCGGGTTCCATGATAATACGAGCCGGAGGCTTACCTTTTCTAGAATGTGGACTAAAAGGCTATTTCGGCTAGAATACTCCGAAAAGTTAGGAAAAACATCCATCACCAATCTCACGGGGATAAGAACATAATGAGAACTGCACCCAAAAAGAGGAGTTTCTCTAATTTCGGCCAAGGTGCCAAGGCTTCCGGACATCCAGTTGGTCGGAACAGCACTAGATTTTAGGATCATGTAAAATATAGGTGTCAATATCAAGCAACATCGAGATTAGTGACGAGCGAAAAGAAAAACATTTGCCAAATGGTAAAGCCTCTACTACAACAGAAGAGGTTAAACAGAAAATTCTCAAGAAGCCATAGTGGAATACTTCAGAGAAATGAAGGTAGTTAAATCCAAAGTATGTTAACATTTGTTAGGTTTAGCAAAATCTGTATTTACGGAAAGTTTCGCAAATATATCGCCTAGTGAAGTAGTGAAAGTGCACATAATCTTGGTCAGCGAAGTCAGGAACAGTTCAAACTCTTTTTAAAAAGATAACGAACATTAGAATGTATATAATCTCATATCAGTATCTTCTGTAGAAATCGATTAAGTACTACAAAGTACCTTTTAGTGACCAGTAAGTACCGATGTACATATGTTTTGTAATGATTTCAATTAACATTTAGTATCCTTTGTAGTATGCCCCGATGAAGACAACGAACATTTTCAAAAGCTTAACTGAAACAAGGAATCATGTTCTTTCTAGCTTGACTTCAACTTTCCGTTCTCCCCTCCGGCCGCCTATAAACCCCCATTCTTTGTTCTCGTGCCCGACTTTTAACACGTTAATCGGCGCGCATCGTTTTACGTGCAGTGCAGTGTCGAGGATCCGCTGAACATTTAGAATTAGAAAACAGGACAGAAGGTTGGCCGATAGATATGCATTGTCGAACGAGATACCAACCGATGGACGCATCAAGGTTCCTTCGTCGCGGACTAAAATTAGAAAGTGGCGTGCAAGCCTCTTTTTCTGAAGGGGCGTCACCATCAGGTAACTGCTTTAGGTGCAAGTTAAATGAATATTAGTATGGATGCCTAACCGGCGCTGCAGATTGTGCCTAACATGACGTTTGGGATAACGTTCTGACACTGTTGCTTGAGATAGCAACATGGACCTAGCTTGTCATAGCCAACTCCATACCTAGGACGAATAAAGACGTTTGAAATAACGCTGAAACATTAGACTCGGTTGCTTGGGATAGCAGCGTGGACCTGGCTTGGGATAGTTAGCTCCACACCAAGGATGAACGAAGACATTTGGGAAAACTGAAAGCGTTTGGGACAACGTAGCAACAAGGTATGGTCAACAATATTTTCTAATTTGCTTTTGATGGCAAATTTCATCTGGTTTGTGATAACCATGGAACAGGACTGTAACTCTGAGGTAACGGAAGCCATAATAGAAATTGTCGCAGGGATGCGTGCTTGGTCTGTGTACAGCAACATGTGAGCTGTTTACTAACTGCTGAACTATCGTCTAGGTTCAAAGAAGGGAGAGGAGTGCATGCTGGCAGATAGTCGCATTAATGCAAAGAACTCAGTAGTACTCTGACAGAGGCTTCCAGTGGTATCTTGCTCTTCGGTGTAGGTCTGACGAAGTAAGTCACTTCTAAATAGGAATCAGAAAAACTGAGCACCAACTGAAGGCCAAAAGGCCAGACAATGTACTAACAACATCAACCCACTATTGCAGATGAGGCGTGTAGGTTAGCATGGACATTAACGCGTTTTCACCATCAATGGCAGAGCTTTAGGAGTGGCGCTAAAGTCGTGAGTTAGACTCAAGTGGTCACTTGCCATTCAGATGGCGACTTGTTTAGCACTTGGTCATAGCTGAATCTCATTAGTCTACCAACGAATTGCTTAGCTGCGGTGCTATCAGTAAAAAAGTTGAGCCAACTTAAAATTAGCATCTATTCTACTATTTCTTGCCCCCAAGTCTGATAGGTCAACACGTTTGATTCCTTACCTCAAGACACTAGGCTATTGAACTGGGATCAGACTTCTCCATAGAGATACTTCCTTAACGAATCTGGATTTGGAATATGCAGGGATTTTGGTACCCGTTATGGATAGTCATAGAATATATTTCAGATTCATATTCAAGGGACAGCTCTTCCAATACAGTGCTGTACCGTTTAGGGTAAATTATTCCCCTTATGTGTTCACAAAGTTAATAAAACCATTTATAGAATACCTTAAAAAAATTGAGCACTTTCAGGCTCAATATTAAATTGTGACAGAAAGAAAGTAACTTTACTTGAGTGAACGATGCAGTCATTGCTAAACCTAGTAAGGGCAATAATGGACAGCAGCCAAGACAGAGTCCGAACCTTTGCGGTGAACAACGGGATCTTGGTGTCAGCTTGTCTTTCATTTCGTTACAGCCGACTATACACTAACGAATGAAATTTCTTGCCTTAAAAAATTCTCAAGGAAATTTTAACGCTAATATGCCACTAACATAACATAACTTAAGGTCTACCTCGGCCGGGGCTCACAGAAACTGGCAGAGGTGGTCAAAGGTATTGAGTTATCCAATTTTTAGTTGCACAATTTCTCGGACTGGGACATTAGTTGGCCAGGGAAAAGTCTCATAGTTTTTGGTCACCCGAGAAGGAGATCCCGAATGCTGATTATCAAGAACCACTGATAGTTTTCTTCTCTGGTGAATGCTTTGCTACCGAATTGATGGGCTGTTGCATATTATACCCCATCCTACATCAACAGAATGGAGAGCTTCTAGTTTTCACGTCTGGACCAGGTTGCGGGAAAAGTATGGCAACTGTGTGAAGAGAAAAATCTTACTGCTCTCGCGTCAAATATAAAAATCTAGGAGTAATACTGGTACAGATGAGCTTTTGCGTCAGTAGAACGTGAAAACGGAGTGGGAGCTACACCTGTCACCGTCATGATTTTGCTTCAAGTATTCGGTGTTTCTGAAATTTCACTTCTAGGTAGTAACGCAAGGATCTGATGGAGGGACCCAGGACGCCGCTCCCACTAAAGCTGTTATTCCAATCAGGATCGATAATCTATCATGTATTGTGGGCTTAGATTACGGTAGGACCTGTGTCGGGAAGAAATACATGCCTGGTTTCCTACCTTGAAATTTCTTATCTTACAGGTGATAAGAGATCAATATATAATTGTTTGAGCTATCAGTCTTTTACCCAAAATGTTACTAACGATACAAACGTAACATGGTTTTTGAAGGGCATTTACAGGATGAGTCCATCTCAACTCAAATATAGATACTGTGGTTATTCTTAACCAACCAAGGGGGTTGCTGGTAGGCTCTGTAGGTATTTGGATGAGGAAATCAGCAGCACTGCTAACTCTAACCTCAGGTCAGAGTGTGCAAACTAAATGAAACAGACAACATCCGTATTGGGTTGAATAATACTGAAATTGGGATTTCTCAGATTTTGAAAGTCTCGGGGTCACTCACGTGGCAACCGC